GCTACTCATGCTTCTCTAGATTGGAACATTTTTCCCGGAATAAGCGGTACATTTTTGTTGGGAGTTTTGCTCTGTTTCTTTCTTTTGCCTCCATAACTCTTTCCTTCTCTCATCCTCCCAGTCACCCTCATGTTGTCCCATGCTGGCTATCTTATGAACCTCTTCTGCAAAGGTTGAACTATTAGTTCTGAGAGTAAAGTTCAGTGACCACAGATGTAGACAACATAACTCCAGCTGATACATCAAGAAAATCTGTATTTTGGAATAAATTAACTAGGAATGTTCCACTATCTTCTTTCTGAGAGTTGTAACATCTACAGGGAAATAAGACAACCTTCTTTACTCCAACTGTGATAAAAATGGCCTAAAAAATGATTCAGAAAGCCCTTCAGCTCTTGATTTATTTCTATTGGCTTAACACAAACTTTCTGTCTCTTCGCAGTCCCAAATTTGAGCCACTACATCACTGAAAACACAGACAAATGCATAAGCATGACCGGAGATTTTAGAAGAAATGGCCATCTCAGCCTCCCAGATTTTCCAGGCAGGTTATTCAGCAATTCAATGTGAATATCTTATCTTTTCTTTCCAGCCTAATCATGCCTATGATCACAGACTGTTTGGTCAGTTTTGAAAGCAAGGAATTGAGAAAATACCAGAGAAGATTATTTCTTGCCTAATGCATGTGAACAAAACTGACAGGAATCTCATGACAGTGTCACACACACCCCCTTGACTTGTCTCCTGACCCTGTCCTGCTTTTGGCTTTTCTATCTTTTCTGTGTGACCTTCTGCCCAGCCTGAAACAGCACAGTTGTGGAGCTGGGTCTCATGCTCTTCAGAGCATCATTAAGTTGCTTGCCTATCCCAGCATTTGGGATTTTTTGCCTTCAGGAACATCTCTCCTGATCCCCACTTAGTTGCAGCAGGACTCCCTTGCTGGGTGGCAGCAAGAGAGGCAGAGCAGGGGCACCTCTTTCCCCCCTTGCAAAGGTTCCTGCCACCCAGCCCTGACTGACACCTCTCACTCTGGGGCACAACAGCCTGAGCCCGGCGGGTGACCTGACACTGCACCCAGGCGAGGCAGTGACAGGCAAAGAACAGAATTGAACTGTAGCAAAGCACACCTCGCTTTCTTCCTCCTTATCTCATTTGGGCCTGATATACTGCAGTTTTGCTTGTTTGTTTGCATGTTTATTTCTGCTGGGAAAGGAAGGGGGTGCAGTGCTGCGGGATCAGGACCCTGTGGCCACCAGCACAGGTTTCACAGTTGCTGCATTTCGCAAGACTCGTTTACAATTGCCTTGGCTGCAGAACCAGCACAGGCTGTTTGCTTTTCCTCCTTCTGTTTGCTTTCATTGGCTGGAAATGGTTTTTTTTTCCAGTTCCTTTCTTTTCTAGGATGGCAGTTATTGCCAGTTAACACCAATAACATCGATGCCTCAACTTTTTGGCCATAGTTATGAAAACAGATTCTCGCACCTGCTGAGCTTGTGGCTTTTCACTATCAGCCGGCTACCGATGACACCACAAAACATCCTTCGCATCGATGCCATGCCAAGCAGCAGATTTCAGGATAAAATACGTCACATTTCCATTTACTGGGAACATTTTTCTCTGAGACCTTATCAACCTGATACAGCGTTTCTGGCACAGAGTGTACTTTGGAGAGTAGGTCAAAGCCCAGGAAGCTCCCTGGTACCTTTGCAGCACTTATAGCTCTGTCCTCTGGGTAGTCCAAACACAAGTCCCCAGAATAACAATGTCTTCCTTCATTTTCTGTCTGGCCATTACAGTTTGTGGTGTGTGCTGGCTGCTTTATCATCCATGAAAGCTAGGTACCTTCTGAGGTTACCATAGAGGGCAAAGCTAAGCCATTGCTGTCTTGCAGCTGGCATAGATACCATGAAATAAAGGCAGAATTAGGGAGGAAAAATAGGTTATTTGGCCATTATTTTCAGAAGATTAGTCTGCTGGATTTCTGAGTAAACAAGTAGGTAGGCACTTAAAAATCAGTCTAGGCTCTGGCTTCTGGAGGGAATGTAGGTAGTGCTGAACTTCAGGTTTAAACACAAAGAAATCCCACTGTTCGACTGAAATACCTTTTCTTTTCTACTAAAAAAAAGAGAATTATATTCACAGTTGTATTTGCTTAATATTCATCACTTAAAATCTGTTTGTTGCCAAGATCTGGGAACTTGGTGAAAAGCAGACGTTTCTTTTTATTAGTAACTCCTGAGGGTAGAATGCCTCTTTTTCAGGGGAAGGTACAGTTCCTGACAAGCTTTTAAGTTCTCACAAAGTTTATAGGTGCCAGTGGCTATATGTAATTATAATTTATACATAATTTAGTTGGACGACTACATTTAGAGGGAAGTTTTTGAACAGAAAGGGCTTCAGTTACATTACATCTCTTACATCCATCAAAATTAGTAATACTCTACAGCTTATGAGTCTGATTCAGCTCACAACTGAAGAAGGACACACTACAAGTGTGATGGGAGATGCCTACTCAGGCTGTCTTCATAGAGATTTGCCAAATCAGTTTTGGGTGGAACTCGGAGAATGAGGGGATAAAAAAAGGCTGCAAAAGTTCTTCACAAATGCAGAAAGGAATGATGTATAGTTCTAGTCTCACCACTGCTGTGCTGCGAGCTTGTCTTGATAGTTTCACACAACAGTCACTATTTCAGTGAAGCAGCCTCCTGTCAGCAGGATGGCAAAAGCTAATGGTAAAATTAAGTAGCCAGCTCTTCCATAGCTGGTTATCAAGGGATGGGACAGATTTTCTACGTGGAACCTTCTGCAGCTCCACATGTACAAACTTAATGGTTGTGAATATCTGAATAACTTCATTGTAAAGAGATCATGGCGTGGGGAATGTCCATCACTAGTTCAGGCTATTCAGGGTGCCTCGCTTCTCACTGGGCATTCTGCATTCATGTCTTCCCCCCTTTCTGCAAGACCTCGACTCTTATCAATTCTCTGTGAAGCTGAACCTGTCATTCAACTGCAGACTGAGCTGAACTCTCTTTTTCTCTTGGTTCCCCAGAAAACACTGGGGTCAGCCTTCCCCAGGTAGCACCTCTGGGCAGGAGGAGTGAGCACCAGAGCATTCTCCAGCAGCACGTGTCAGAGAGTACAGCTTTGCTCCCCGGCAAGTTTCCCTGGGCGTCTCAGCAGTTCTCTGGTTTCTCCAGGTCCATTACTTATAGAGGTGTCTGGGAGATGGGAACAAGTGTGCAGCTGTGGAGCTAGCTGGGTTTCCAGAAAGCAGGCACTGGAGCAGAGCTGTGGCTTTTATGAGGTGTGGGATGTTAGAGGAGGTCAGTTATACACCACATTATAGCAGAGAAATCTTGTCACAGCTGAGTTTGATCTTTGAACAGATGTCCTCTCCTCCAGCCTAAACAACCTCTCAGTTTTTCAAAAAATGTCAGAATAATTTCTTTAAAAGTTGACACTACTTTTTGCGCATACCCCATGAGGAAACAGCACCTCTCCGGACATGGCAAGAAGTTAACAGCCCTGATAGCATCCTGTACTGCCTGACAGGCAGACTTTTTACATGGAAAATATGTTACCCAAGAGAGAAGAGCTAGGCTGACTCATTTAACTCCACACCAAGGGCACTGCCAAAGCCAAACTCTCTGCTGGAACTGGTGCCCCCATGGTATCCCTGGCACTCTGATGACTGAAGCTGACAGTGGGACAGCTGTCAAAGAGGGCAATTACAGGGGTTTTTGTCAGATTCTCTTGTTAAGGAAACACCAATAAAGTGTGTATCACACCCACTCTACTTAAGAAAAAAATGTTCAGGAATTCTCCTTCCTGGAAATATTGCAAAAACTACCACCTTTCCACCTCTGCCTTCCCTCCCATGCTATCTGCAGGCATTAGTGTATTAAAACAAAACCAACCGAGACAAAACAGCAAGTAATGAAAGAGGAAAAAGAGCATGAACAAGAAGCCTGCAGCACTGCCAAATTATACAACACAGATTCCCACTGGGGATATCTTGGGCAATTTGCCTCACTGAGGCCATCAGGTCTGCTGAGAGAATCTGAAGGATCCTAAACCAGGACCAGGACCTGGACCAGGACCAGGACCTGGACCAGGACCAGGACCAGGACCTGGACCAGGACCAGGACCAGGACCAGGACCAGGACGAGGACCAGGACCAAGACCAGGCAGGCAGTCTCTGTAAGCAGCTCGCCTGCTTACAGTTGGTCCAGCTTCTGCTTACGGCTTCCAGTGAAGCTAGTAGAGATGCAGTGACTCCTAGCAGCTCTCAAAATCAAGCTTTTGACTCAATATAAGTGAGACAGCCTCAGTTTTTCCACAGATAATTGTCATGGGAGAGAGGGTGGCTTGCCTTTCATTTGCTTGTAAAATAGCATGTGCATCTATGCTACGAAAAGTTCCAGCTTCTGCTGCCGCAGACTGCTAAGGGCTGCCATGGCTTTTTTTCCTTTCTGCTGTTTCTCACCACAACTTGCTTACAATTTACACGATGCCGCGTGTGCGTGCTTGGTGCCCTAACTTTAGCTGACACAGCAAACACTTCAAATCCTCCCCTTCAGTGTGCATTCTCTGTTAAAAACCTGTGTGTAAGAACACTAGAGAGAGTGAAAAGTGAAAGAGAGGGGGAGAGATAGACCCTTTAATCTAACGGGTAAGGAATGTGCATCGAGCTGTGCGTGGACGTCTGATGTCTCCAACTATTTGTTAAAAGGCAAAAGCAATACTTCCGACAGACGTCCCTCCCCTCGCCTGCAATAGGCTCCCAAGAATAGCAACAGCCTGTGTCACTGCAAAGGGCAAAGCCTTCTGAAATAGCAACAAAGTTGTTCACAAACCACTTTGTGGTTTGCGTTTGGTTTCAGCCAGCTTCAGCAACTTGTTGCCATGAGGAAAATAACCTGCCCTTTCCTCATCCTCCACGGAAGGACCGCTGCCCTGTGAAGCCCTCCTTGCCCCAAAGCACAAAGGGGGTGGCAATGGTACCTGGGCACAGCACAGAGGACCTCGGCCAGCAGAGCCAGACAACGAGAGCAGGGCAGGATGAGGAGAGCAGCCGGGCCAGCCGCCACCACCTCCACAAGTTGCCGGCGAGAGCAGGTAAAGTGGCAAGAGCGTAATGCCAGCTGTTAGCCAGCTGTTAGCCAGCACAGCCTGCCCACGTAGTTACCGCTTGGGGCTGGGGAAAAACAGCCCCATAAAGCCAAGGGACTTTCAGGGCATGCTGTCTCGATTTCTAAAAGAGCGAGAGGGGAAAACATGAGTAAGGAAGGGAAATGCCAGCTTGAGTTTTGAATGAAGGTTTATGGGATACTTTTTCCAAAAGGCCTCGGTCTCACTGTTTGTGCATGTGCTGTCTGCTGTGTAAATATTTTTTCCTTTATGAAGATCAGTCACCTGAAAATGGGAGAACCTGCTGCCGTGTAAGATAATGATGGTTCTCTGGTCCTTGCATGCTTGGGAGCAGTTCAGCCCTTTTCACTGAAGTGGAGGGAGGCCAGGCAAGCATTGCACCTGCTTATGCAGGAGGAAAGTAAAGCG